AGATAATATTTTCTTGACTTTCCTGGTTTCCAGAAGCTGCCCTCAGTCTTCATTTATGGTCCCTTCTTTCAACTCTAAAACCAGAATTGCAGCATCTTCAAACCTCTCCCTGACTGTAATACTTTTTCTCCCTCTTCCTCTTTAAAGGACTGGTAATTACACCAGTCCTGTTTAGATAGTCTGTGATGTAATCAGCTGACCAGCAGTCTTGATTTTATTTGCCATCTTGGTTTCCCCTTCTTATGTAACAGAGAGTTGATACATATTCCTGAGATTAGGACATAGACATGCTTTGGGGAGGCGGAGTGGAGGACCTGATTTCCCCTTACAAGCATAATTGTTTTGATTGTTACAAGAATGTCTTAGTGTTCTTCCCACTAAAATCTCTTAATGCTGATGTTTCTTTTAACATAGGTTAATGACAACTGGTTAAGTGTTTTTCAAAAAATTATAGGTGAATTACAAAATGATACTATTGTAGGCCTTTATCTTTTGTTATATGCCTTGTATAATTAAACTAAAACTTCTCAGTAATGGCTTGACCAAAATATTGTTAATAGAATGGACATTGTTCCAAGAAGAAAGTTCCATTTAAACACTGTTGGTGATAAAGAGTTGTGAAATTTGAAAAATAAACTCCAAAAGATTTTTAAGAGTTAGTGGCAAATATGATTAGTAGTAAAATGGAGTGGTCTGTGAGAATGGTTAACAAATAATTTGTCTACTTAATTGAAATATTCAATTAATAAGGTGTGAAAATATCATGTAAGCAAAAGAGAAGAAAAAATTAAAAGAAATAATGAAAACAGGAAAGTATGTAAAATTACATTGTTCCTGAGGGAGAGTACAGGTGGAAGAGCACAAAATGAGACTGAGCAGTGGTTTAAAATTGGGGTTTCTATATAAATGGGAAAAAGAAAAGTGAACAAGTAGATTTTCTGACTTTCCTATGTTTTAAAATTACAATTTAATGAAAATTTTATATGCAATTTTCATATGTAATTTGAGTACTGAATTTCATTTAAACTTCTCTCTCATTCCCTACATTCAGACTTACATTTGGTGTATTGACACACTCAGTGCCAATCTGACGTGCTGCTTCAGAACATTCATTGACATCAGTTTCACAGTTTTGACTGAGAAGTTCTTTTGGGCATTCACAGACGTAAGCAGAGCAGTATTTTTGCCAATTTTTTTCTTCCCAATGAAAATAAGGATTAGGAGGTTTCATGAGCTCCTCACAGAATGGGCCTTGAAAAATCACATATAGAAACAGAGACATACACAGAGAGGGATTGGGAGCAGAAAGGGAAAAAGAAAAAGAGAAAATATGAAGAGAAAGTCATTATAGAAAAAGAAAGCGAAAGTCATTATAGAAAACAGTCTAAAATGCATGGATTCTTTTTTGGTACAGAATTGTATGTGTTTTTATTTTTGTAATTTTTAATGATTTTTAAAAATTTAATTAGTTATACATGACAGTAGAATACATTCATGCACTATTTTTTTAAAGAGAGAGAGAGAGAGAGAATTTTTTAATATTTATTTTTCAGTTTTTGGTGGACACAACATCTTTATTTTATTTTTATGTGGTGCTGAGGATCGAACCCAGCGCCCTGTACATGCCAGGCG